CATCCCAGTACCATGGTGGACGACCGAAGTTAAGAACGCTATTGCGCGTCGGAAACGTGCTTTCCGCTGGTTTCGTCGCCACCATTCTGTATCTCATCTTCTTGCCCGAAATTATGAGCGTGCTCGAACCAGACGAATTATGAGGAAAGCCAAACGTCATTCTTGGCAAGCATACATCCAGCAGTTCACTGCTGCTACTCCCCTGAGCCAGCTATGGGGACTGGTTCGAGCACTTTCCGGAAAACGCACCTCTATTTCATTGCCCACTTTACGCATTAATAACCAAATCATTTCGGCACCACCTCTTATCACAAATGCTCTTGCTGAAAGTCTTTCTCAGTGTAGCTCATCCGGAAATTACCAACCAGGATGTGTGGAAGCTGCGCAGGCCCGTTTTCGTTTACACACTAATTGTTTTGCTTCCGATAACACCGAAGACTATAATTTACCATTTTCATTTCTGGAACTACAAAAGGCTATAAAATCCGCCGGCAACACCTCAGTAGGTCATGATCAGTTACACTATTCTTTTTTTCGTTATCTTTCAGAAGATATGTTTCGTTTTATATTGGCAGTTTTTAACCATTTGTGGTCAACCCATGTCTTTCCTGACGCCTGGAAAGACACCATCATTATTCCACTTGCAAAGCCAGGAAAAGACACCAAAGATCCATCAAATTATCGTCCCATTGCACTTACCAGCTGTCTAGGAAAACTTTTTGAGCGGATGGTGGTGAAGCGAATCTCTTGGATTGAGAACGAGACTGCCTACTTACAAAAAATCAATGTGGTTTCCGACACAATCGTAGCACAATAGACCATGTCATCAGACTTGAAACTGACATCACACGTTCCTTTAAACATCGACACCACACAACTGCTGTATTCCTGGATATTAGCCAAGCCTACGACATGGCCTTTAAACCTGCACTAATTTTCAATCTCCATCAGTTAGGGTTTAAAGGCCATTTGGCACATTATGTTATTGGGTTTCTTTCCGGCATCAGACCATTTCGTGTGAGATGCAGATCCGCCGTTTCCGACACTCACCATCTAGAAAACGGCCTCCCACAAGGGAGCTGTATCTCACCAATTCTCTTTCATTTTATGATAAACGATTTATTTGACTCAATACCATCGGGCATTTCCTGTTCACTTTTTGCGGATGATGGCGCGATCTGGCGCTCAGACGCTGAATATGACCATTCGCTGCCACGGCTCCAAGCCGCCCTAAACAAGGTGCAGCAGTGGTCAGAGCGATGCGGGTTCCGTTTCTCCGTTCCCAAATCTGCAGTTATGATTTTCAGCAAAAATATGCATGGTACTTCCAACTTTCGGCTTCGACTAGATGGACATTACATTCCTTTCGTTTCGTCTTTCAAATTTCTTGGCATCGTACTTGACCCCAGATTATCGATGCGACAGCACGTGGGGCATGTTTGCTCCAAATGCCTAGAAAGACTAAATTTATTTAGATGCATTTCCGGGTCAAGATGCGGTGCCGACCGCCAATCGTTATTACGTCTATACGAATCCTTAGTCCTTGCCATCATTGAATATGGCTCCGTGGTATATGCAGGAGGCAGCCAACACACTCTCAAACCACTCTCCACCATACAAAATATGTTTTTGCGAGTTGCCCAAGGAGCTCTGCGTACTTCCCCGATTTCAGCGCTTGAAGTGAACGCTCATGTTATGCCTCTTGCCCTCCGACGAATGGAGCACACATTGAGATACATCACAAAAGTGCGACAAAATCCCATTCACCCAGCATTTGAATCCATACATAACTTACCTCACATTCACCATAACTACGTAGGACCGGCAGAACGTCGCTCAGGACTTACAACAGCATCTCGAACCACTATCTACTGTACCACTCTTCAGTATACTTTACCACCTTCTTCCGTGCCACCTGCTTTAATAGTACCGCCATGGCAGTTAACCCCTCGGAAAGTTTTGTTTCTTTTTGATGATCCCAAACACATTTTCACAACAAGTTATGTTCAACAAACATTTAATCGTCTAATTTTCAACAATCAAAATGGCAGCTTTATTTACACCGATGGCTCCAAGGCCAATAACCACACCGGATGTGCAGTTATTTGCACTGAACATTACCATAAAAACTGTCGGTTACAGGATGGCACCTCAGTATATTTGGCTGAATTATTTGCTCTTTTCCTTGCATTGCAACACATTCAACAACACACCCACACAACGAAGACAATAGTGATTTGTTAGGATTCAAAGACAGCTGTACAATCTCTTATTGACCCAGACTACACACACCACCTCCTTGTTGAAATCGTCAATCTCTATCATATATTACACACACAGGATATGAATATCAAATTTCTATGGATTCCAGGACACACAGGCATCATGGGCAATGAACGGGCTGACCAACTAGCCAAGGAAGCTTTGACAAACCAACACATCATGGAGATCCCTGCTGATCATGCATCTACAAAACATTCCATTCGCACAATGACAAAACATTTTTGGCAACAACAATGGACCGACACTACCAGAACACAACTTCATGATATCAAACCAGACATTACCCCTTGGCCATCAACGTATCGTAAAGACCGTCTGGAGGAGAAGGTGCTGGCCCGTCTACGAATCGGACACATTACACTCACACATAGTTACATATACTTAAGTCAACCTCGTCCTCACTGTCAGCCGTGCGATCATCCACTTTCGGTTAAACATATTGTTATTGAGTGCACAAAACATCAACAGCACCGCAAAGATATGCAGGCTTTTTGTCGTAATCAAAATATCGAGTTTTCTTTAAAAAACGTCCTTGGCGATGACCATCCTGAACTGCTTAACATTGTCTTTAACTTTCTCAGACTTGCCGGTTTGCTTCAAGCTTTGTAAATGTCAATAAACGTACACTTTTCTTAACATACATAATTATACCAATTTAAAATATCATCCAGGCGTGAAATGGTCTGAACAGGCCGAAACGCCTCAAACAAATAAACAAACAAACAATATCGCTAACGCAATCCATCCGTCCTTTTTATCCTGAATCTTGCTTCATCCTGCGTCCTTGCGACACCCCGCTTGTCCGGGGCAGGCTGCATGCGTCAGCCACGAGTGGGCCGAGAGCCCCGTGGGAAGGGGGACCCCGACCGGGTACCCGCGCAAGCGCGGGTTAAAGCTCGGCGGTTGGCCCCCCAGGCGCATGCACGTCTGTCCCATCGTTAACCACTTTCATTTATCCCACAGCCCTGAAATGATCATGTCTGGTCGAAAGGGCTCTAATCCAAACCCCCCCCCCCAAAAAAAAAAATCGCTAACATACTATTTGTGCAACTTGACAACGCAGTGTTCTTTGCTCTTAGTGATCCGTCCCTCTCTAGACGCGCTTCCCTGTCTGTCAGTCCGGGCCGGCATCACCTCGATGCCGGCACCGTAGTTTCAAACCAGACTAGCACGACCAACGCAGCAGTGCTAGTCCCGGCCACTCTGCCGCAACCAGTCGGTTGACAGCCCGAGTCCTGAGGTGCGGGTGGTTACGCTTGTGTCGCACCGCACGGGGGCTCGGGTTGTTAATTGAAGAAAACAAAGGGCAACTACCGCCACATTTTCTCTTTCGTCGCCGAATACAGTGACGTGCGCGACATAGCCACCTGTGTTTAGGGCAGTCCTTAGCACAACACCGCATCCTGAGTTACTGGAATTTTCGTGATATTTTGCAATGTTTTTGAAGCGTGGCGCTCGTGGAAAGTAGATGTTCAACCAACTGTTATGCTTTAAAACCATACACCTTATACTTAAAAGCTGGTAAGCATTTCAATGCTTGCCGACTGGCCTTACTTATACAGGAGTCTGGATGACAATATATAAGGTACGTACAGAGTATTACTTGGTTCAAAATGAGCATGGAACTGTTCATCATAAATTCAGGTGCCTAGTGCGTTAGAATTTGGGGGGCAACGTTCTGGGTTTTCTTGGTCTAATATTCCTTTCTTACCGATGTTCGTTGGGGGGGGGGGAGCTTAGTGGAGCAGTGGTTGGGATCAAGTCAGCACTGGGGTCTTTAGCCCCTCTTCGTGTCAGCAGATTCATGGGAAGTACATAAATTAACGTATCTTTTTGCATCGTTACAGTAATATCACCTGATTGGCACTGTCTCCAGCTGGCGTCGCACCTTCGTGGAGATACTCGTATCAACCATAGCCCATGCTTTCTTGCTTTTTTCCGTTCTGGTTCTTGCATTCACACCAAGGAAATGATGGACACATGGTGGGCCACGTACACAGTTCAATAGTGTCAGGTCTCTGCGCCCTTTGGGAGCGTGGCTGTCCCTTGCAAAACACCGCACAGGGTATGTACTTAGTTGGGCTGGGTGATAGGCGAAAGGAAATCACTTCTCTCGGTATGAATGCGCTTACAAAATCGCGTAAAGGTTGCATTCAGCTGCACGAGGCGCTTCGCGCGCCAAAGCTGTTTAACTTGGTGGCAACCGCAGGTCATCCGGCGCTGGCTGCCATCGGCCGTGTAATCTGAGGGCACAACGGTGATCGATCGGCTCAGCCAGGATTGCTAACCACACCAGTGAGATGAAGACGTGAGCCACGTGCACTGAGCGCAGTACAATCTGTCACGGAGCTGAAACGCTCGTGGGTAGTGCCGGATGGTGCCGGACTTGAATAGCAGCCGCAGCCGTCCTACCGCCCTCTGGTTTGAAGTTGTGATGGCAAAAGCGGTCCGGACGGCTGACAGTCACCTGTGTGACAACTGCCCCTGGTCCAAGAATACCACTCCTTGGAGATCAACTGCAAGAAAACTTTAGCGTAGCACTTTTTCAAGCACATTCGTTTCGTGAATATATGCCCCCAACCGGCGTGGAAGGTCTTGGTTTTCCATTAGTATTTAGCTGTTTTATTCCTTAGGCCACTCAAGGCAATACTTGCGCCTTTGCTACAGTATATGGTGAAATGGATGCGCGCTGTGGCTGTGTGTGCCCCTATTCAAGCTGATGGTTTATGTTACCTTCCTGGAGGGTGCAAGGGTGGTGGAAATTGGCGAAGGGGAAGATCAAGGTGAGCACTGAAAGTGTGCCCATTGTGTGGAAGTGTCATGTAGAAGCCACTGGCGAGGTCAAGTAGGTGTAGGTGATTGCTTCACGTTGAAGTGTAATATCTCGCCTGTCAATAGGGCTGGGACTTGAGTATGTCAAAATCAGGTCACTTCTAGCCAACCTCGTATTATGTTTGCTGATAAGCCCGTCATTCTTTATTTTCTGTGTTACAAAATTGCTAAGATTTATCAGGCCTTATTGCCAGTGGGAAATTAAAATTGTCATTGGACAATAAATTGAGTTATAAAGCAATTTTTATTTTTCATTTGATTATCTGACAAACAGTTCCATGGAACAGCTTTTCCCCCACTGAGCTCAGTAGAGATGTCCTGATTACAGAATCTGGAGCTGTTAAGAGGCCAATATTGATTGATCAGTATGGCAGAAGATGGATCAATTGTGGAAGAGATAGAGAGAACAGAGGGCCTCTTAAAAAGACATTATGACAGGTATGTATGCCTTCCTATGTATATGCATAAAATAATGCATGTTTATGAGAAAAAATTGTGTTGACTCAAAGTTATGAAAAAATCTGTAGGTATTTTGAGCATTCCATTTAAATTCAGCAATTGGTGTGCCTAAACAGTACTTAGTTAGGTACTGAAACCATGCAGTACTATCATAGTAGTATTTTAGGTTGTTCAATGGTATCATGTTATTTCAGGCATGAAATGAATATTGCCATAAACTTGACAATCAACATTTAGTTAGATATGCTATGAAATGAGTGATCATTCAGCATATAGTTTGTTACAAAGATAACTTTGTGTTATGTGGTCCCAAAAGGAAACTGATGGACTTCAGCATTGTGATGTGATCCTGTAAGAAAACTGATGGATTTCAGCATGGACTGGAAATGAGACCCCAGTCCCCAAGAGGTCACACTCAACCTCATGGACCATTTAGAGCATTGTACTCAGATTCAGACCCACGGGATGTGGCAAAGGTGGCCTTGGGGGCTCAGACACATCTCAGATGGAGGCAAGATTTACTCAAGTGGAATATGTCAGGACTGAGCTGCAGATTAGGTTGTGGAATTATGCCCATGGCTGTCCTTGGGCACATAACAGTATTTGAGAAAAATGTCAGAGTCATTCCAACAACACTGAAAAGTATATGTTTTCTGTTAAGCAGCTGAGGAAACTAAATAATGGTGGCAACATCAAGAAGTTATCATACTTGGACTTAAGATTTGGGTATCAAAGTTTTGGTCTTCTCACCTAAGCTGCTTGACTTTTTCATGTGATAAATTCTGGTGATAAAGCCTTTCTTCAGCATTGGGCACCAATCACCAAATGAGGAAAGTGTCTGGTGTAATTGTCCTCCACCATCTATTGGTTCTGGTTATGTGCTTTTCTTCTCCCCATGTCAGAGCGGCATGCTGGCATCTCCCATGTTGAAGAGATTCACATGTGTGTTCTTGTCTGTGTTGACTGCGTGGGCCGGCCTCATTCGACGACGTGGCTTTTCCGCCGGCGACCAATAATGTGGGGCAGAAGTCTCATTTTTAACATCACACGCGGTAAAGGCGATGACGGTTACCGCTGCAGTGACGGGCTCCGTTCTCAATGGTGTCCTTTTGGGTGCTCTAATGAGGGTGTGTCGGCCGGCCCTCCAGCGGCTGCAGCCTCAGTCGTTCCCTGCGGGAAGGGGTAATGGGGTGGGGAGGGGGTGGGGGGTATAGCTTTGGCAGTGATGACGCGACAAAGGCTCTCGCCTGCCGGAGCGCGGGTCGTCCCCCACGGGAGGGGGCGGTGTAACTCCTCGCAGTGATGACGCGACGGAGGCGCTCGGCTGCCGGAGCGCGGGTCGTCTCCCACGGGAGGGGGGGGGGGGGGGGAGGACGCCGGTGTAACTCCCGGTAATGATGACGCGACAGAGGCTCTCAGTCTGCTGCAGTCTGGGTCGTCCCCGCGGGAGGGGGGGGGGGCGGTGTAACTCCTGGCAGTGATGACGCGACAAAGGCTCTCGGCTGCCGCAGCGCGGGTCGTCGCGGTTTCCTGCAGCATCGGCCTTTCGACTGCCTGGCGAGCGGGGCCGTTCGCGGTGTGTGGCCGGCGCGTGGTCGTTGGGGCCGACCATCGACACGGAAAACACCTGCCATCGGGCCGGTGGCGGTGCTCGGTGTGTGTTGGAGGGATTTGTGCGGTGGCTGTTTTCATTGAACAGTCAGGGGTGCGGTGTGGTCACGGTGACCCTCCTATTGAACGGTCATGGGTGCGGTGTGGTCACGGTGACCCTCCTATTGAACGGTCAAGGGTGCGGTGTGGTCACGGTGACCCTCCTATTGAACGGTCAAGGGTGCGGTGTGGTCACGGTGACCCTCCTATTGAACGGTCAAGGGTGCGGTGTGGTCACGGTGACCCTCCTATTGAACGGTCAAGGGTGCGGTGTGGCCGCGGTGACCCTCCTATTGAACGGTAAAGGGTGCGGTGTGGCCGCGGTGACCCTCCTATTGAACGGTAAAGGGTGCGGTGTGGCCGCGGTGACCCTCCCATTGAACGGTAAAGGGTGCGGTGTGGTCACGGTGACCCTCCTATTGAACGGTAAAGGGTGCGGTGTGGTCACGGTGACCCTCCTATTGAACGGTAAAGGGTGCGGTGTGGTCACGGTGACCCTCCTATTGAACGGTCAAGGGTGCGGTGTGGCCGCGGTGACCCTCCTATTGAACGGTCAAGGGTGCGGTGTGGTCACGGTGACCCTCCTATTGAACGGTCAAGGGTGCGGTGTGGTCACGGTGACCCTCCTACTTTGGGGAATCGTGGCTCGCCTCATTCGCACATGTTGCCTCTACACGTGATGTACCGCGGGTTTTGGGGATGACCCAGTGGCGCATGTGTTTTGGAGGAGGATGTGGCTTAGTTTCATATTCTTATGGCCGCGCATCAGTTTTTTTTTGTCTTGCTTTTTGCTCTTTTTTTGGTCTTGCCGAACGAGAAAAGACCTCCAGGCCACACAATCTCCTCGCCATGGGTAGTCCTTTCACGATCAGTAACAGCCTGCCACTCCTGTACTCCTGATCACGTGACGAATTTACATGAAGGAAGTGCGCGTATCGCAAATAGATGTGCGCTCACGCGTGTACATAAATATTCGTAATCGCGAGTGCTTGTAATGCAAATGTTTGTAAATGCTAATGTGCGTTTGCGCAAATGGTCTTTTTGCAGATGTTCGTATTCCGGATGTTCGTAAAAGCTTATGTTCTGAAAACCCATTGTTTTATGCTAAATGGTCGTAATTGCAATTTTTAGAATCCAGCTGTTAGTAAACGCTTATGTATGTACACACAAATGCTCGCGTCGCAGATTTTCGCGATAGCGGATGTTCGTGAATGAAAGTGTTCGTATCGCAATTATTGCTAGTCAGATATGTCCCTACCGGATGAATTTTTAAAAACCTCTTGTTGGTATTGCAAATATGCGGTATTTATTCACAGTATAGGTAAAATATAAAAACACATCGGGTGGATCCAAATCAATGCAGAGGGTAGTGTACTTGATACGAGAAAGAGGGCGTTCAGGTCCTGTTTTTTTCGCCATTGTGAGTTAAAGGGTATTAAGTTGAGTTGATAGCCTTCAGCAAACCAAGAGGTACTAGCTTAACGACGTTGTTGTGGTAAATGATGATTACATTGAGCCCAGCTCGACATATTGTGTTCCCTCAATATGATCGTTGTTTAGCACTACAACCTGGATAAACCAGTACCTGCTGGTATATGGAGGGGCGTTGACTCAATATAAGAACTTCGAAATATTGTTAGTGTCGGCAGTGCAAAGTTGCTGATATTACTGATGCCAGAGCCACTGATACTGATACCAGTTTCTACTAGCTACTGATGTTGATACAAGTTATTTCAAGTCACTGATACGAAATGAGCCCACAGTGACCTCGGGTCACGTGGCTTGCGAGCGTGTATAAGTTGTCTCGGCCCGGCAAGGTCACGGTAACAGCGAGGCCCAGCCGCGTGAATTGCCGTGAACTTTCCACGTACCTCCGTGACGTGACGGGTATACCTCCGTGACGACCGATGATGTAGCGTGACGCCCGTCCAGACCTGACGTCACTTCGCTCTCAGCTCCACCGGGTCTCGTCGCGGGTGCGGAACGGTACAAATGACAGGTAAAGATCTTTTATTGCATTTTTTCGTTCGGGCGCGCTAAGATTTGCGATGCGATCATGTGTGACTACGAAAATCCGCTGTATGAACATTGGGGGTTACGAACATTTGTTTTTCAAGTATTGTTATGCGTAAGATCGCATCGAAGAAAAATAGCGGTGGGAACATTTGCGCTTTCAAACGTGTGTGTCTACTAACTCTGCGCTACGAATAACTGTGACACGTGCCTGCATTAGTGGTCGCAAACACTTACGTGCGCGAGTCTCTGTCATACGAGTATTTGTGCCCGTGCGTAAACGGTTGCAAACTATTGCACGTACGAACACCTGCATAGCTGCACTTGCGTGCGAACATCTGCTTCACACAGGGGCGGCGCCACGGATTTCGAGTTGGGGCGGAGTGGTCAGAGTTTTCCAGGCCTCCTGGACAAAATAGGGTCTCGTCTCATAGGGAGCCTCCCGGGCAGTGTCGTATTCAGGTGTGTGCTGGGGGCAGGTGCCCCGGTATCAAAGCGTTACATCACCAAATCCATATGATGAAATGACAATCAAAACGGTTCAGTCTAGAACCTGCTGATATACACAGTGGCTCCGTGACCCAGCGGATGGCCCTCCTATTGCAAAAAGGAGGCCATTTGCCTTTTCCTGTTTCAGTAACGGGCCTTCTTATGCATCACAGACGGACTCCACATCTAACAAAGGGTTTCAATATCCCAAAGC